TCATCCCCTTCTTATCAACCAACCGTACTCTAAATACTCTGTGGTTTAGAATGAAGTGGAACGTTTTCCCTCTAAGCTACTTGTTATCTTCTCCCTGTAAGCTAACATGGGGGAGGAATTCAAAAGCCTTTGTGTCAACTTAAAAAGCAACACATCACCAACCTACATGCAAACATTGCTTCAATACTGTCTGTAAAAAACACAAAATGACAAGGTAATCTATTTTATGAAGCAGAGATACATGTTAAAATATGAGTATGTGTAAAACATTATTCCAGTGCATGAATTATTGGCCTCACCTACCTGTTGCACCCGTTCTAATGCATTTTGATATCATATCCAGACATGGATGATATAAACTGGAATGTTGTGGCATAAAAAGGACAATGCTTCTGAGTATAGTATTTATAGTAGTAGTATACTGTATGTAGGAAGTCATTTATAGTACGTTGGCAAATAAATGAAGATAATTTATAGGTTCATAAATGACAACATATAGCTTTTAGGCAATTTATAATTTTCAAATGTTATTAACTTCTAAATATTAATACTGTATTAGCTAGAGAAAAACCGTGTAGTCTGTGCTGTAATCAACATCAACTGTTGTGTTTGGACGATTTTTTATTTATTTATTTAAAAGTTTAAAAGTAATTAACCTCAAGGTGAGACTACTACTACTACTACTTAGATCAAGTCTACATCTGGACGTGACGTAATGAACTAACCAAACAATTGCTGATATACTGGAGTCATTCCTTAAGCAGTTTTTTAGCCCATTCATGTAGCATATATAACTTATTTATTTCTACTGTCTTTAAACAGCCCCTCCCCTAATGTGATGTAATCAGAATACCTGTATTAGTCCCACAGAGGGGAAATGTACGTTGTTACAGCAGAAAAAGAGCCACAGACAGCTTAATGTTACATATGTTACATGCATTAAAAAGTATTTCACTAGCAGGAACCACGCCACAACAGTGTGATGTTTGTAAGTTTATTGAAGTAACATGTGAATGATATGAGGGGGGTGAAGGGATGATCTGGGAGGACGAGCTATGGTCCGTGCAGTGGGAGACTCAGAGTGGGGGTTCAGTCTCCGGCATGATCTGCGTGGGCTGATTACGGGCCCCCAGACGATACCTGGAATTGAATGTTTAGTATACACAGTATATAAATATGCACCGTTTAAATATAAATGGTGATGGGCAGAGGATGTTGGGATGAAGGGATGAGGGATGGAGGGATGAGGGATGAAGGGATGAGGGATTGAGGGATGTAGGGATGAGGGATGTAGGGATGAGGGATGGAGGGATGAAGGGATGTAGGGATGAGGGATGGAGGGATGAAGGGATGAGGGATGAAGGGATGTAGGGGTGAGGGATGTAGGGATGAAGGGATGAGGGATGGAGGGATGAAGGGATGAGGGATGGAGGGATGTAGGGATGAGGGATGGAGGGATGCAGGGATGAGGGATGTAGGGATGTTGAGGGGAGGGAGGGAAGAAGGGATGTAGGGATGTATCGCTCGGTATGAGTCGGAAGGGGAACTGTATGGGTAGAAAGGGAGAGGGAGGGTGGGTTGAAAGGATGGAGACAAGCAGTGGCCGGAAGTTTGCCGGATATAAATAGGGGTGGCCGTGGTTTGAGGCGGAGTTTTAGGCGTGGCCATGCTCCTGAACCTATGTTAACATTTTAACCTCATTAAAGTTAAAAAAAAAGTGATGACATAATGCAAAATATAATACAAATAAAAAGTTACACATTTAAAAAAATACACATCCTGTAACAGTTCTCAGCATTTAGCAGCCAGGTATATATTGCACAGTTGTTAACGGCATATATATATATATATATATATATCTATATTGCACATATTGCAAATAGTTGGTTGGTATAACGATCAGCCATGAGAGCGCTCTCATCCCGTTTAAAGGAATACTACACCCCCCTAAAATGCTCTTATATATATGAATCACTTATCACATGATAATTTGAATTTATGAGAATAACTTAATTTTCTTCAAATACGGAGAAAGTCTTGATGATTTACACAAAATGTGTGCCGTCATCATTTATCCAGTTTAATGCTCACAACTTCAGAAACATGCATTTACAGTAAAATCTAAATGTTAATAAATAACACTTCCACATCAGATTTATCTTAACTGTGAAATTAAATTAAAATGAACAGTTCAAGATATCGTTATGAAAGTTATCATTTTTCGGGAGTCCTAAATACTTCCTTTTGACTTCCAAATTAATCTTCCATTGTTCGGATGCAGAGGGTGTATTTCTTATATGTCCCAGATGAACTACCTTCCACGGCAGTATCCCAGAGTTTCCTTTTTTCATTCATATTACACATTTACTGTACATAAGAAACAAATATCATCGCATTACCTCAGTCAGAAATGTTGGTACCGCAAAATGTGTGTCTCCTTTTTAACTCATTCTGTCTCTTCCACAATCCCATGTTCTCTATAACTCTACTCTGTAATCTAAAGCTACACACAGTGATGCCATAGCTCAGGGCTACTGTGGGAATTTCTCCGTGTAGGTACACATTATCACTAATAACATATCTCTGAACCTTTGTTATGGGCATATACTGGATGGGGTTGGTTAGAGTTTAATGACACTGTGTGTGGTGTATGTGTCTCTGTGTGTGTGTGTGTGTGTGTGTGTGTGTGTGTGTGTGTGTGTGTGTGTGTGTGTGTGTGTGTGTGTGTGTGTGTGTGTGAGAAGAGGGGGTTGTGTGTTTAAATCATGTGTTTGCTTGAGGTAAAGCTTGGCTAGACTGCAGGGAACAACTAGGTTCACACATACCTAGGGATGGGTATCGTAAGGATTTTATCGATACCGATACTGCTTATCGATACCGGTATTTTTCGATACTCTTATCGATACTTTTCAATAATTTGGTGCTCACAATTATAGACATGATTACAAGATGTGAAGATTAAACAACAGTCATTTTATTGTAATTTATTTGTATTTATTATTTAATGTAACTTTTTCAATGTCATACAAGCAGGTATGAGTGTGTTTGACAGTGTGTCTCTGGAAGGGGGGCGGTAATTAGGGGCAGTTCATAAATCCATGTAAACATGACCATTATTTAGTTAAAAACGAGACACTGCGTGCGCACCTCCTAATCCGGTCGGCTAACCATTATAATCCGTTTATTGCGTTTATTATTTATAATTGTAATAATGGATTATCAGTAATCATTTTAAAGTTACACAGAGACATTGGATTAACCGTTTTTATGCCCTTGAACAGAACTTTTGATCACAAAACAGCAAAGGTAAGACATAATTATCATCATGGCTACGTAAAGTGAAGTTGTTTTCTTGCTCTTTCCTGGCTGCTAGTTCAGTGAGTTTTGGTCGTACAGTGATGAGACTTATACCAATGGAATCTGTGGAATCTCAGCTCCATGTGGAATCTCAGCTCTCATATGTCGTTTGTGCAGATAACAAAACATTTTTGCCAGTTATGTGCTAAAGTAGCCCTTAGCCCGTTTCGCTAAGTGTTGATTTAGACTCTTGGTGTTGGACTTCTGTTCCGTGTACACTGTAAAAACATTTTTTGTAAAAAAACGGAAATTTTCTTGCGACGGGGGCGCCAGAAAATATCCGTTAAAAAAAGGAAAAAAACTGTAAAATAAAATATGGAGATAACATGTAAAAAAAAAATAACTTACCTTACCACAAGTAGCCTCTATTACTGTAATTTTACATGAAATCTTTTTCTTTTAACATATATTATGTTAGAATAGAGTCATAAACCTCTAGAAAACTGAATAATTATCTTAAAAAAATTATTAAAAAAAGCTAAAATACAGAAAATTACATTTATTATTACAAAAAAGTACCGTGTATCTAAGACCATTTACACAAAAAAAAACACAAAGAAAAAAACACAAAGAAAAGAAAGTCATTTTACTTTGCAAAAGCCTTAGTTTACATTAAATATCACATTTTTTGCCAAACAAATCTGTAATTTTACAAGAAATGTTTTTCTAATTCCATAAAATCTTTTTCTTTTAACATATATTAATTGTTAGAATAGAGTCATACACCTCTAGAAAAACTGAATAAATATTTTTTTAAATGATCAAAAAAAGCTGAAAGACAGAAGATTAATGTTGTCATTTTAAAAAATACCGTAAATTCAAGATTCAAGGCTTTATTGTCATTTGTACATTAGCTTCAGTGTAGACATGGCAATGAAAAACTGAAGTCACAGGCTCCTCCAACAGTGCAACATATATATAGAATATAGAATAAATAAAACAGATTAAATAGTGCACGTAAATACAAATAAAATAGAATAGAAATAATGCAAGAAGAGTTTCCGTTTACTTGCAGGACCAGAAACGTTTTTAAGCTTCTTCTTGCCCCTTTTGAACATGATAGAAACTTTGAGAATACATTTTTTGTATACCTTGAACGTTTTTTTATTTTGCCCATCTTTGTTATAAATATTATTGTGTTTTTTGTTTCTAACATGTTCAATAAATTGACCAATACAATTTAGTTTTTAAAGAGCCGCTGTTTTGGTGATGGTGTTAATGTGATGAGTCCATGTCAGGTCCTTAGTGATGAGTCCACGTCAGGTCCTCAGTGATGAGTCAGGTCCTCAGTGATGAGTCAGGTCCTCAATGATGAGTCCATGTCAGGTCCTCAGTAATGAGTCCATGTCAGGTCCTTAGTGATGAGTCAGGTCCTCAGTGATGAGTCCATGTCAGGTCCTCAGTGATGAGTCCATGTCAGGTCCTCAGTGATGTGGACCCCGAGGAACCTGAAGCTGCTGACTCTCTCCACCGTAGTCCCATTGATGGCGATGGGGGCGTGTCCCTCTCTCTGCTGCTTCCTGTAGTCCATAATCAGCTGCTTTGTTTTGCTGATGTTGAGATGGAGGTTGTTATCCTGGCACCAAGATGTCAGGTTTTCGACCTCCTCTCTGTACCCCGTCTCGTCGCCGTCGGTGATCAGGCCGATGGCGGTCGTGTCGTCAGCAAACTTCATGAAATCTAAGACCATTTACATGTAAAACACAAAGTAAACATGTAATTTTACTTTGCAAAAGCCCAAGTTTACATTAACTGTCCGATGTTTTGTAGAAAAAAAAATCACAAATATATATATACAATATATTATTGAAAATAATAATATACATCACAAAAATAAAAACAATAAATAAAATATATTTTAAGTAATAATAAAGCAGAATAGACCGGCAATGAAAAATTTCAACATTTAACAATAGCCAACATTGTTCAAAAGATAACAATTATAAACACTAAAGAAATCTACCAGTTATGTGCGTGCGTGTGTACATGACTATGTGTGTGTGTTTCTACTCTCTCCATTCAAAGTCAGCGACGTTTGTAATTAATGAATGCACCTTTATCTTTATCGAGTGCTGTTTTTGTTTGTATTCCTTCCTCTCCACTCTAGTCCCCTTGTCCGGATTGATCTTGAATAGGCACCTGTTAAGACAGAAGTACACTTACATTTAGTGTTTAATTACACATTCTGTGGATGATACAGCCATTAATTGTCTTTAGTTATACAGCTTGAAGTCAAAGGGCAATGCTACTCTTAAATGTACTTTTCATTAACTGTTATGATCATATCTGTACATTTAAAGCATTGGTTTGAATAGAGTTTTGTTATATAAAGTTGTCACTTGGCATCACTATCACACTGGACAGTATCGCAGCAGGTCTGTAAACAGGAGCAAGCGGTCACTTGAAGATCATTTGAATGTGAGTAGCTACGAGTGCCATCTTGAGAGGTTTGTGTGTAACTGGGGCAGATGAGGTGCGTGTCAGTAGCAGAGTGAGCAGTGTAAAAGCATCGTAGTTAACCGAAAAAAGTTTTAATGTGTTTGTTCACTGGAATAATACCAGGTTCCGGTGCCCATCCCATTTCGGTGCAAGAAATAGTTGCGTCTTCCTCGTCAGATTCCATTGTCATCAGGTGCTGACACTCACGCTAAGCTTTTACTTGGTGGTAGAAGTACACTATTCTAATTATACTTGTGTGTTTCTCTGTGATAGACCACACACATACACTAAACCTGCTCCATGGCTGTATTACTGTGCTGTTGTGTTGATATTAATAAGTTAAGGAAATCAATCGCTACCAAGAATCTTGTGTGTTCTTACCGACACCCCAAAGTGTAAGTCACTCCGAGTGAAACCTTCCCCTATACAGTCCTACCTGAATCCCTATTCAATAGGACTCCTTGAAAACAATTCCTTTTTCCAAATAACTGATTTTTTTTTTTTTTTTTGTCGAGTCATTTTCATTGAGCTGAAGTAAACATACCACCGATTGGCTAAGAGTGAGTTTGGGCTTTTAGGGAGGAGCCAAAGCACACCACTGCAAAGGAAAGGGGTACGCTGAATTTACAACCCAAGACAAAACGAGAGCATAATGCGAAACAGAATGCAGCACAATAATCTTTTTATCTCGATTATCTTGTATTGTCAGGAGCACTTATCGTGTCTCAGAAATGTGCACAATCCTCTACTCTGTGGTTTAAGATGGAATTACTTAATAATTACAATTTAAGTCTTACCTCTGCAGGGTAGCTCCCAGTTCTGAGCGATAACTGATGTTGAGGCAGTAATATGCTGCAAACATCAGTATCAGGGCGTCGACAACATTCAGGACACTGCCACTTACGATGGTCTGGTCCTCTGCTATCATGTAGTGTCCAGCTGTCAGGGGAGAACTCCCTTAAGGTATACAACAAAGGAAAAAGTCACAAAACATTTATAAATCCAAAAAATATTTAGTGCAGATTGTTTTTGTTTTTTTACTGGTGATCACATGGCCAATTGTATTTTAGGAATGATCAGCTCCTGCAGCTTTCTTTTCTTTCTTAAGTGTTTCCTAATGTTAACAGTGTAGAAAATGTCACATCATAAAGGGATAGTTTGGGTGTTTAAAGTGGGGTTTTATAAGGTACTTATCCATAGTCAGTGTATTACCTAGAGTAGATGATGGCTGGCAGGGCCGGACTGGGAAACGGTGGACCTCTGTCGCCTGTCAGCTTAACTTCAATGATGCCGTTTAAAAACAGCGAACCGACCCGGCCGTTCGGTGATTCTACAGATGGTCAGTCCGCCCCTGCCGGTACCGAAGTCGGCCCATCGGGATTCGTCCCGAACGTCCCGATGGCCAGTCCGCCACTGATGGCCGGTATGCCCCGAGCTTGGAGATGCAGACAGGAGCAACCACCTGGAAGCAAAGCAATGTACTGCTCTGGACAGGGTCAGCAGAAAAACATATTTTAGCCACAGGTCTCTTGATGATTTCCATATCCTTTCACTGTTTGCATAGCAATACCATATAGGACATCGAGAATTGATAAAACTTGTAATATGGCAAGAAATCTTACTTGAGGATCTCTGGCTGCTATTTATTCTTGGTAGGTTGCAATGACTGGTACTGCAGCTACAGTAACAGCTGAGGGAAAAAAGAGACACAAGTTTGCACATGCTTGAGCAAAAATAACTTAAATAACACAGCAGCAGCTTTAAGTACAGTAATACCACTTCAAGTATAAGACCTGAGTACTTCTACTCTTATTCAAGTACAAGATCTGAGAACTTCTCCTACCTCTGATTGTAGCCTTAACATAGGATTTAAAAGATATGGATAATGTGCATTGTGTGTAACATTATGCCCACAAAAAAATCGATTATAAAACTAAGGATTGAGCTAACATTAGGAGTTAGTGACAATGTATGCTAGTTAGCTAGCTAAACTATTTATTAAATAATATTGCGAAAAAGTAACTCTGAAACATTCACTGCACATCACGCTCAGCCACTCGAGCACGCATCTTGCGCACCATTAAAAAAATAAGAAATAACACCATGCACGTAATGATGGCATAGAACAGCTCACTTTCAAAGCATGGTAGCTAGCTGCTAGCTAGCAGCTATCTAGCTATGGTAACGTTAGCTAACATTACTTTGTTTTCGGTCGTTAAACAAAATGTATACCATAGCTAGGACTTTGACGTTTGCAATATTTTAAGTCTTGAGTGTTTTGAATCCGTTGATAAATAGTTTTTACCGTTACCTCTGAAAGTGCTGATTCCTCTCCTCTGGGCGCGCCACGTGCAGTGCTCTTCACCTCCTGGTGCTTCTTCTTCTCTTCGTTTTTTGGCGGATTGCAAACAACTTAAAAGGTGCATACCGCCACCTACTGTACATGAGTATGAATCATCATATCATACCAACTCTTTAACCTATGATCTAATCAAAATAAATAAATAAATCAACAAAAAACAAAAAACAAAACATGAAATAAATAAAACAAAAATAAAAATCTATGTTCTTTCTTGACCTAATGTTAAATTCTTTTTCCTACCCCAGTTTCACTCAAGAATGTAAACAGTGCCTTTCTGGTAGCTCTTACTCCCTCTCCTTTTGTTCCCAAAATACCAACCACACTCCATTCCCTCTCTGCCTCTAAAACTTTAGCCTTTAGTTTTTCTCTTTCCGCTTTATATATGTCACAATGTATCAAGATATGTTCTACATCTTCTTTTACTCCACAGTTCCCACACTTGTCACTGTCACTTTTCCCCATGACATACAGCGTACCATTCAATGCTGTGTGATTTATTCTGAGTCTAGCGATCGTGATTTCCTCCCTTCTGTTTCTTTCTTTATAAATATGAATTGTAATTGTCTTTTGTACTTTGTGATATTCTTTGCCTTTCTGGTCTTTCTCCCACCTTTTCTGCCAGATCTCCATCCCTTTCTTCTTAATTACTGCTTTTCCTTCTCCTTTTCCAAGTTGAACTGGTAATGTTATTTCCTTTTGTAGTGCACTTTTTGCTAATTTATCAGCACACTCGTTCCCTTTCACCCCCTCATGTGCAGGCACCCAGCAGAACTGCAGATCTATGCCGCCTCTGTGCAGTCTTAACAGGCTATGATTCAGTTCTATGAGAATGTCTTCTCTGGCAGTTGTTGTTGATTGTATGCTTTGTAATATGGACAATGAATCTGTGCACATCACCACCCTATCTGGTCTGACCTCTTCAACCCACTGTAATCCTATTATTACTGCCAGCATTTCTGCTGTGTACACTGATAATTGATCAGACGCTCTTTTTGCAATAGATATTTTAAATTCTGGGATGTATATACCAATTCCAACACACTCTTCCTTGTTCTTAGAACCATCTGTGTACATTTTTAGGTAATTGTAGTACTTTTCATTCAGATACATACTTGTTTTAATTCCCACTTCATTTACTTGCCACTCTTTTTTCCTTTCTACAATACTCATATCTATTTTAGCTTCTGGGAAAAGCCATGGGGGAACACTGCTAAATGGGGTTGCTTTAGCAAACGTGATATTGTCCACTCCATATGCCCTCGTTCTCTCCTTACTCGTCCAGCCAAACCCACGTCCCTGGAATTTTGCATATTCCCAGCAATCCTGTAATATTCTGTTTGAAATATTTCCTTCTCCACTTCCTTGTAGCCTGACCCAGTATGACAGAGCAAGTTTCTCTCTTCTGATCTCCAGAGGTGTCTCTCCTGCTTCTATCAGAACTGCATTGATAGGGGATGACTTTATCTCTCCAATACACAACCGCAATGCTTTATATTGTATTCTATCAATTTTTAAAAGCGATGTTTTTGCTGCTGCTCCATACACTATACAACCATAATCTATTGTGGACCTCATAATTGATCTGTAAATGTCTATTAATGCTTGTTTGTCTGCGCCCCAGTTGCATCCAGCTACAGCTCGCAATAAATGTAATACTTTTTTGCATTTTGTTTCCACTTGTTTAATATGCATTTTCCATGTATATTTGCTATCAAACCACAGTCCTAGGTATTTGAACTCATTCACCTTTGTCATTGGACGATCATATAGTGTTAGCTGTTGGCCATCAATCTTGCGTTTGTTTGTGAATACCATGTAGCATGACTTGCTTTCTGACATTTTGAATCCCCAGTTATATGACCACCTCTCCACTTTTTTAATCGCTCTAGCTATATTCTCCATTACGTATGGGGCATTTCTTCCCCTCATCCAAATAGCCCCATCATCTGCGTATAGAGCCGATTGAATGCATGTGTCTAAACATGTAAATATATCATTGATCATGATGTTAAATAATATTGGACTGACTGCACTCCCTTGGGGGATACCATTTTCTATTTCAAAATAGTTGGAAATATCTGCTCCAACCTTTACTCTAAATGTCCTGTCTGTTAAAAAGGCCCTTACCCAATTGTACATTCTCCCTCCAATACCCATTCTACTCAATTTGATCAGTAACCCATCCCACCTCCTGGTGCTAACTGAGTGGTCTCTGTAGTATCAGTGCCTTTGCGCATGCGCTCTGTCTGCCTCAGCGCGATGGGTGCGTGCAGCAGAAGTCTCGTCTCTGATTGGCTGCAAATCGATTGCCCTGAAAATCCTTTGATGAACATCCAATCCTTGTATTATTTTAAGAATTGGTAACACCACACCATAAAGATTAATTTAAAAGTAAAAAAATGGGGTGCAAACTATTTACATTGCAATTATAATTGTTTAATTCTTTGGATTTTATTTTCTTAATTTACAAAATGACAATGTAACTAGTTGATAAATAATAAAACAAACACTGAAGGCCTTCCAAAGACACAAGCAAAATATGTTATAAGACTTCTTTATTGTCAGTTTATTCTTTTAAATTGAGAATAGAGAACACTGATAACTAATGTTGGTGCACATTTATATAAGTTTGATTATGATCAGGAATATCCCATCTGTACTTTGCAGTCCTGTCCCAAGTACAAGTTAAGTAGGTATTAATCAACGTGTACATATAGTTTACTATCATTTTTAGTCATGCATAGTACTGCCTTCCTGATTGCTTTATTTTTGAGAAACCTATTCTGCACCTACACTGTACCTGGATTTTAAGAGAGTCCAATACCCCATGAGACTGTTCAGTCTCATAAAACATGCTCAATTTACTTTTTGAAAACACAAGCTCACAATAAAGTCAGATGGGAGATCTACAGAAGCAAAGTGTGATAGACAAAGATGCATTCCTATATTAAACAAACAGAAAATAAATCTTTGTTGTAGCCATAGCAAAGTGAATTTAGGTACTTAACCTTCAACTACCTGCTGCCTGAAATCCCTGTGACATCACTGTAGATTGTTGTAACCAACTAGCTGTGTGGGACATTATCACAATACATATTTAAGTTAATTTACTTGGATTGTAAAGGTATTTCGCTGTAGTTACTAGCTTTGTCAACATGCTTTGGTGAAGGCCTATTCTTTCAATGTGATGGATTTGAATAGTTGGATATTATTAGACGTCTAAAAGGACAACATAGGTTGTTCGTTTTACTGTAATTGCAATGCTAATACTAATTTAGCATAGTGGTAGCACTAACTGCTAACAAGGTTTTGATATTCAGAGTCTGGCTGTTAGTCCTTGCTAGCATGTTCAATGTTATGGGCTAAATTGTACATGCTAGTGTGATAAGGCCTAGGGCAGGCATCCTCAAAGTCCGGACTCCGGTCCGGATCCGGACCGAACCACAACTGTCTCTGGACTCTGAGCAAATTATACTTTTCATATGTATTATCTGTATTGTCTGTATTATCTGTGTTATCCCGGGCGCCGGACATGATGGCAGCCCACTGCTCCTAACACTAGGATGGGTCAAATGCAGAGAAACCCTTTCGTTACATAGTGCCTGTACTACGTAATGACAATAAGTTGAATCTTCTTCAATCTTCTTCTTATCTGCGAGACATCGCCACAACGCAACGAGTCAAAATTCTCCACTATGTCCACTGCAAACAGCGCTCTGCATCTCCGACTGTTCCACTGTCTGTGTGTGTCTGTCAACGCTTTGGTCCAATCACATTCAGCATCCCATCAGCGTTTTTTCCCACCACCAACAGTCTGCGAATCAGAGGCACAGTAGGGCGGGTCTTCGCGGAATGCGGGTGGGAAAAATGCGTGTGTCGTCTCTTTCAACCTGTCTGATATGAGTCAGAGCGAGAGTTTAAAACAAAAAAAGTCAGAGCGAGAGTTAAAAGCTCATCTAGTTGCATCTGTACTGTAGCTAGTAGCCTAGTTTCACCTACCGGCTGCCACCCCAGTTGGCAGCTTTGTTTTGAAAGACAAGTTGTGGCTCATCTGACATTTATGAGAGAAAGTCTCTAATGTCCGAGTGCAAGTGAATGCAGCACAAGATGCACGTCTTGTAACCCCTCCCCCGGCCCTGGCGCGAGCGTGGAAATATGAGGTATTTGCGGTCTACAATGACAGAGAAGAGACTGTCAAGTTTGGCTGTACTCAGCATTGAATCAAAACGCACTAAAGCTGTGGATCTTAATAAGTTTGTGAGGCGTTTTGCTGAACAAAATGGTAATCGCCGCATTCAGCTGTAATAACCCTGTAAATATATATTTTTCTTTGTGGGGGTCTGCCCCCAAAAAATAGTTTTAAGTCCTGAGAAAGTCAAATAAGACGGTGTGTAAAACTACACTGCCCAGCCAAAAAAAAGTAACCACTTTGATTGAACTAGGCCAGTAGGTAAGGACATTCCACTGGATAATAACTGAAGTATAAAAGAATGCATGACTGAAGTGATGGAGACCATGTTTGAAGGCAAACAAAAAGAGGAAATAACAGGTCAAATCAAGCAAATCCCCCTCTCAGATTCCACAGCAACCAGAAGAACATAAATACTGGCTGGTGATTTGATTAATCAGCTTTGTGATGGAATAAAAAATGCACAGTGCATTTCCTTAGCGGTGGATGAGTCCACTGACAATGCTCAGTTGCTGGTGTTTGTGAGTTTTTATGATGAGGCAAAGGGGGAGTTTGTTGAAGATGTGTTGGGCCTGACGAACCTCAGTGGACACACAAGGGGGCAAGACATTTATAAAGCAATAATGGGAATGCTGAATGAAAGAGGGTGCAGCTGCCTTTATTCATAACTGTGCAGCTCTTACACTGCGACTCTGAGGGATCAAGCACAGACACAATAACAATGAAAACTGCTGCATACAGATTATTTTTGTTTTTGCAACCTCGTGTTAAGAATCTTGTTGCAATTGTTTAAAAGTTTGA